AAACTACAGTCAGCCGTTGAGTCACCAGCCAATCCTACCGGCGACTATTTCAAGAGAGGAGCTGATTGGCTCAATGGACGTCGTGTTTCACGGTTTGTTGTCCTAAATACGTTGTACCTATTACACTCAAAGACTTCTGCTGTTGTACACTTCTTGTCGTGTTATTTCTTTGGGGACTCATACGAGGCGTTATTGGGTGGTGATATCTCGGCCTGGGCTTCCGTTACAACAAGAGGGAAAAGTCCTAATCATTGAGCCACGAGTCTGCTGTCTTGCCGGTTGCTGATCGGCAATTTGTAGTAGTTGGTTTTACACCGATCTGTTTTTCAGGATCGGTGTACCATCAACTACTATAACTTTTAGTGTTTATGCAACCGTTTTGATTTTTCGCTTGATGCTGTGATGGCACACATACACTGCCAGCGCGCCTTTGTGATTCCCTTGTCATACCATATTATTATGAGAGTCTGTTTTCTTGTCTTTATTTAGTCTAAGAGCCATATATGGCAAAAATATCATGGAAAACGCGGTCTTCGCAAGCACAACGGAAGAAAGCGCGAAAAAGTGCATAGAATACATCTTCGGAGCGAACTGGAATGCCGAAGCAGGTAAAACTTCGTAGGGATGTTAGAATTTACGCATAGAGGATGGCACTAGATAGATCAACCGGTGTCTGTTTAGTAAAATCAAGTGTTTATCACTGTTTCACTTTTCGAAAATTTTACAAGTGACTATTCCCTGCGGCAAAAACAAAACAAAATCCTTATTGAAGTGACTTTTAAGGACAAGTCTCCTTGTCACCCCCGTTGTTTTAACCGAGAGCATGCCGTGCAATTCTGAAACACGTAAATAGGTAGACCTGATGACACGTGCGTTGCTGGAACCTTCCAGTAAAAATGATCAGTAATCATTCATCTGTGGATTTCTGTGATCCCGAAGAGGTTTTCTATGAGACAATGCTAGCTACTACATTTTTCCTAAAAATACGGCCTCGATAAGACGGCGATGAAAAGACGCCCACCACCATGGATGAACATTATGTATGCCACCAAGCCGTGTTTTATCTTGCCCTGCTAAAGAATGTTGCAGAACTGGGGAAAATCCGAAGAGCACGCGGTCCTTAACCCAATTTTATTTTTTGATTATTAATTCCATTCACTGTGACTAATTTTGTTCAAGTAAACAATTGTAAAAGCAGGCCAACACACTCATGCATTTGTTGTACGTTTAGGGGGCTCTAACGTGAGTTACTATATAATTAAACGTTTCAGACAAAAATCCCGATTCTCAGCCCCCCACCGAGGAAGAATGAGGTGCATCTCAAGGCTCGCCAGTGTACCCACAGTTTGAATCAGGTTTTGGAAAAAAGGACTCCTTTTTATGCGTAGCTTGTGTGCTTCCAGCTCAGCCTGAGTCGACTCTTTTAAGTTTTTTTTGTATTTTACAAGTGAAGTAAATGCTTTCACTAATACTGACTACATTATTTGGTGATGAGCAGCTCCATCCACGAGCATTTCAGGTAATGAGCAAGCGAAAAGCAGAAAAAATTGTTTCGATTGAGGAGCTTCCGCTCAGTTAACGGGTTGTCAGTGCGTGCGTGGGTGCGTGCCTGTGCCCGCCGTTGGGTCTTGCGCCCACAGCGTGGGCCCTTGGTCACCTACAGCCAATCAGTGAACTGATGCAGATTGATTGGCTACGTTTCGCATGTCGAGCGTTCCACATGACGAGCTCGGTATTGGAACGGAGTAAACTCGTTCACCGAGGTTCCACGTAAATGCGTCATGTAACCCAATCAAAGCCGGTGACCACAACGCTGAACTTCATGCCCACTCTCT